TTCCCAGTCATGCAACCGACCTGCCTCATTTTACTACAGCTACCCGCTTAGTGATGATCGCACCTATAAGAAATTCCGCTTCTGTGGTGATATTTTGCATTTTGAACACTAAACTAATTATTATATAATACGCCATGAGTCCCAGGAAAGTCAGTGGTAAGGCTCAACATATGAGATCCCATGTAAGAATGACCATAGAGCAGAAACAAGAGATCATTCGTAAATATGAAGATGGTGTGCGGGTTGTTGAACTGGCTAGGCAGTACAACAAATCTCAGTCAACGATATTCACCATACTGGCTAAGAAAAAGGACATTATGAGTGCTAAGGTGGCAAAAGGGATATCAATAATCACGAACACTGAACACAAACACTTGAGGATGTTGAACAGTTATTATTAATTTGGATACACAACAAGGAGTTAGCGGATGATAGCGTTTCGGAGGCCATCATTTGTGAAAAGGCAAGAAAATTGCATGAAGACCTTTTAAAGAAAACCCCTGGAACGAGTGATGCAGAAGTGAAAGAGTTTAAGGCGAGCAAGGGATGGTTTGAGAAATTTAGAAAAAGAAGTGGAATTCATAGTGTTGTGAGGCATGGGGAGGCTGCCAGCTCAGACAAACCAGCGGCTGAAAGATTCATTGGTGAATTTGAAGATTTTGTGCAGAGTGTGGCATACCTACCACAACAAGTGTTTAATTGTGATGAGACAGGGCTATTCTGGAAAAGATTGCCAAAGAAAACATACATTACCAAGGAGGAGAAGTCATTGCCTGGGCACAAGCCTATGAAAGATCAGTTTTCTTTTGTGTTGTGTGGTAATGCGAGTGGCGAATTGACAGCTGAGGAAATTTCTTCAGGGGAGGATGTGCCAGTACAGAATGTCTCTTCCTCAACAATTAAGAAAATGTGTGCAGCATGAGAAGAATTGCAAACCTTTGCTGAAACGACTCGCCCAAATCAAGCTGCAGTAGGCCATTGCCTTAACCTATTCAATGACACTGTGATGCATCATTACAGACAAATGTTAAAACGAAGGGAAAAACAAAGGTCTCTTGACAAATTTGTAGTGAGACAAGCACTGAACCACAACCAGGTCCTAGTGGTATTCAGGCAAAACATAGGAGAGAGAGCACCCCAGAGAAAACATCACTGCCTGATGTGATAATGGAAGGTGACTCCCCCTTCCAAACAGTAACAACTCTCCTCCTCCCCCCTCATCACCATCTTCCATACGCCATCAAGAGCCCTTCATGAAGGTAAGAGAAACTTTGGTATTGTATTGTAGTTAGAAAAAAACATATTCAGTATAAAATGTATTTGTATGTTAATATTTTGGAGGGTGGGGAACGGATTAATTAAAATCCCTTTATTTCTTATGGGAAAAATCGCTTCGACTTACGATCCGTCTCTGGGAATGGATTAGCATCGTAAGGCGAGGCCCCATTGTATGTAATTTTCTGTCCGAAGGGGCTCTGTTCCCTTCGCTGTTGACGGGGCGCTGGGGGAGCAGCTTGCTCTGTTGACTCTCCCTTGGTCCCACAGTAGTGGGCGTTTTTGGTTGTCTTCTGGCCTCTGGTAGCGGCAGATGGCTTCTCCACCTTTGGAGGGGGGGTTCGGGGCTGGCGGGGTGGGCTTTTTCCCCTGCGCTTCGTCATGTCATCTTAGTGGGTGGGTTGGACGTGGTCGATCTTCCCCATCCTTCTGGGGTTACCGTCTGCTCTATGCAGACACAGGCCTGATGGATCTGCAGTTCTTCTGGACTTGTTCAGTCTGCGCCCTGGATTCTATGCCCTCATCGGAGGACTGTTGTCTCCGGTTCGGCTTCTGTTGGGGCCGGGTGCCTGGATGGTGGCCCTGGACCTCCAGGTCTCTTCTTGGCACGTTCCTCTCCAGGATTCCGGGACTGGCACAGTTGGTAGTGGGGCTTCAGGCTTGCCGCTTTTGTTGCCTTCCCTAGTTTGTAATTGGCACTTGGTGTATTTACACATCTTTAACGAATCTTGGTGCCCTGTCTGAGTCTGCTTAGGATTCGGTGTCTGGCCTACCTCGATGACTGGCTGGTGTGGGCTCCCAGTCAGTCCGCTTGTCTGCTCGCCAGGCGTGTGGTTTTTCCAGATCGCCGGGTTCGGTTTCTTGGTGATCTGGAGGCCGTTTCATCTGTTTCCGTCCCGGGTTCGGACCTGGCTGGGTCTTGTTTAGGGCTCTTGGGCCATTCCTTGTATTTCCCTCCAGAAGTGTTGCTGCGGCTGTTTATGAGGGGGTCCCGGGTTGCTCGAGCGGTTGTGCGGGAGTCTGAACTTCGACATGCTGGTCTGCCCGCAGGGTCGGGTTTGGCTTCGGCATCTGTTTGGTTCCTTCGGAGACTCCCCTTCCGCCTCTCATGCAATCGTTGGCTTCGTCCTTCGGGGATCTTGTGTTGGTGCTGCGTCACCAGCTTCCTCTTTGGGGTTTTCAGGGTTCTGTGCCTTGGCACCTCCCCGAGCCTTCGCTCGATGTGTTCGCGGATGGGTCATCTCTCGGCTGGGGCTTTGTGACCAGTGCTCACCAGGTCGGCCAGGTATGGTGGGGCCTGTCTGGTTTGTGCTTCGGAGGGTTCGGGTCATGCGGTGCTCTACCATCCAGCTCCATTCAGACTGTTCTCTGGCGGTTCTTTGCCTGAACCACAGGGTTTCTCTTAGGTGTTTGACCTTTGGGGTTGGTCCTTTCGAGTGGCTCGTTTGCTGGATTCTCGGGGTTTGGCTAACAGTGAGGTTCATGTCCGGGTTGTGTCCTACGGCCTGGCGGACAGCCTGTCTCGGTTCATTCCTCTGTTTGCTGATTGGCCAGTCGTCGCCAACTCGTTTTGTTGGCTCTGCCGGACGTATGGACTCCTGGCCATGGACATCTTCGTTCGGCGTGGTCTAGGCATCGCCCATTCTATGTGGCACCCTTACCTGCCTGCAATGCATTCACGGTGGATGCCTTTCGGCAGGACTGGTCTAGGTTGGGGTACCTGTTCCTCTTCTCCCGGTCGAGCTGTTGCTTCCGATTCTGGCTCAGTTTGAGTCCATTCCCAAGGTGAGTAGTCCTCATGGTCCCTTGGTGGCCGGCCCAGCTTTATTTTCATACGCTGCTGGTAGGTGTCCGAATCCAGGGCGTTTTCCTGTGGCTCCGCCTCTTTCGGCAGGTCGGATCGGTCCTGCATGTGACTGGTTTAGCCTTCTCCTCGGCTCTTCGCATCTGGTATTTTGACGCGGGTATCACCATAGTGATCAGGTGGCTTTGTTGATGGTGTCCGACCTGCGAGCTTCGTCTCGGCGACAGTATGACGTTCCTGGTATTTCTATGCACCTTTTTTTTTTGCTCTTTGTAGGTTGTCTTCTCTTTCACATCGGGTTGTCTTGTTCTTTCTTGGGTTTTTCAGGACTCCAGTTATTTGATGTTTCTTACTGTCGCCTCGTTTTGTGCTGCGCTGGCGGAGCCGCTTCGGCTTGCGTTCGGGGTGGACATCATATCTGTCCCGTTCTGTACACTTTCTCGTGTTTTGTTTCACCTCCGGCCTGCTCATGCGTTGCCTGAGCCATCGTGGTCATTGATCAGTGTGCCCTCTTATCATCATCTCAGTTTGAGGTAGCCCCTTTGGTTCAAGTTTGGTTTTCATAGGTTTGTACGTTTGCAGCCTTTCTCCGTCCTTCTGGCGACGGTCGAGACTGCTGCTTTTCGGAGGAGTGCTTGGGTTATTGATGTTTGATTGGTTTGGCCAGGGGTGTGTCCTGTGTTGTCCAGTTGCGCCTCTTTGCCGTTACCTGCGTACCATGTCTGGGGGATGCGCTTTGGGTTGATCCGGTTCCACTCGTTCCCTGTTTCAAGGCTCGAGTCTCCCAGGTCGTCCGCAGAGTTTTTAAGTCTTCCAGCCTGCGGTCTATTCTTTTGCCCGTGCTGTTTGGATGTTTGCAGCTTTCTCTGCTGTGTTGGTGACGTCTAGGGCTCATTTCGGGCGCAAGGATTTAAGGGTCACACAGGTTCCTAGCCGCCCTTTCTTTGTGCTCGTGTGTGATCCTGTGCGTTCTTGTGTTGCCTTGGATCGCAGGTTGCATCCTTTTGTCTTAGCTTCACATTGCGGAGTTTGTGGCGGCTGCCTCCCGGGTTGCATCATTTTGTCTTGGCTTCACGTTGCGGAGTTTGTGGCGGCTGCCTCCCGGGTCAGCCCTTTCTTTTCCTTCTCTTTGGGTACGAAGCTCCAGGGAGCTGTAGGGGCTTTCCACAGAAAACCAGCATTGAATGTAATGAAACGCCATTTTCTGGGTGAGCCCGGGAGGCTCCCTGGCAACCCTCCCCTTCCATCGGTCAGTGTTTTTTTTGCGTTGGTTGAAGCTTAGCTTCCAAACTGATGCTAGGCAGCCTGCGTTTTGAGGTCCGTTGCTCCCCCCTCCCCTTCTCGGGTCGGGGAGGGCTGCCCGGACGATCGGCGCGGCAGTAAAGTGTGATGTTTGCTTGTTTGCTTGTTTCCTTGGGATTGTAGGGAGTTTCTACCCCTCTGTTTAATTTTCTGTTTTAGTTTTTTACCATGTGGGGTTTGTAACATACATTAGCCCGATAAGCTCCAGGGAGACGTAGGGGCTCACTCCGAAAATGGCGTTTCATTACATTCAATGCAGGTTTTTTATCACCTCTGTTTAAATATATACTAAATTAAAAACAAAATTCAAAAAATTACATCTCATGATCTTTTATGTGATTATCCTATTCTTAGTTATCTGGAATGCCAGAGTACCAATTTTTTCTGCATGATGGAGTTTGTACTGTACAGCAGTTTTCATAAATCCTTGTCTCTGTGGTAGGTACATCAAATAGAGTCTAGTTTGTGTATTTTATTCTGTGTAGGCCATAAGGCTCTAGTTTGGGTAACACCTTAGGTGCCCCTATCTCAGAAATGATTCAAATGCACTGCATATTTTCTCCAAGTGTGCAGTGATAAAGGTATCCTGCAAAATATTATTTATTTAATTTTTTTTCAGAAACTGGAAGACTTGGGTCATGAGATCTACACAGATGCCTGTAGTTGTGGTTGGGATACATCTCAGCTGCCTGAGTCACAGCATACTGATATCCACAGATATACTTCGGGGACAGTTGTACGCTGGGTGCAGGGCGAGTGCTATGTACTTCTAGCATCAACGGAAGCAGACGCTCAAGTGTATCAGGATGGGGAGCAAGATGATCAAACCAAAGATGACTATGAGGGAAAACCAGGAAGTGGTGCAGAGAGTGATAATAAGGAAAGTTATTTGCAAGAGCATACTAATGAAGAACCCTACATGAAGGACAGTTGCCAAGGCCAGGAGGAGAGTGAAGAAAACCATCATAGGGACAGTGGGGAGGAACCAGACCCTTCTCAAGCATCAGCAGACTGTGATGTGTTAGGTGAAGATGAGGATGTCTTAGGTGAAGATGAGGATGTCTTAGGTGAAGATGAGGATGTCTTAGGTGAAGACGAAGATGTGTTGGGTGAAGATGAGAATGAGCACAGAGACAGTGTTGAATTCTGCCAAGAAAATGAGGAACTGGAACACTGTCATAGTTCTGCACCAGCCTCAAATGAAACTGAAGACTTTTTAAAAGTGGATGATAATGAATTAAGTAGCACTCAGGTAAGAGTAAAATTTGACCCCAGTAAACTACCAAGTGTTTGGTCAGGCTGCCAGATCCATTCATGTTCTACAAAAGGTGAAAAGTATGATCTAAATAAGTGGAAAAAATCACAAAGGTTCACCAAAAAGTCTGTAGATACAGCAATAACTGGTGGCTCTATAGAAGAGTTTAAAAAGCGGTCATCCTCTCTTCACAGCTGTGGTCAAGAGTGTGCAGAAGATGACAGTGAAATGGAGGACCAATCGGAATCTTATGCCATTGAACAGGAAATGGGGAATGCTGAGAAAGTTGGGAAAGATGTTTGTAATGGTTTCATTAGAAAATATTCATTAAAAAGAAAAGTGGATATTGATGAAAGTGAAAAGAATGAAGGAATAACTGACGAAGCCGAGTTGTATGCAGCTAGACATCCCGAACACCATGTGGACACACGCATGAGATGTGCAGATAAGGGTAGGGACTCAGACGACAGCAGAGATGGAAATGACAATAATACCGTTATTGAATACCAGAGTAGTGAGGAAGAACCAATGAGTGAATATGACAGAAGTGATGGAGAAGCAAGAAGTGAAGCTGTGAAAAGTGATGAGGATGTAGTAAGTGAAAGTGGAGTCCATGAGAAAGAAATGAGTGAAAACTGTAATAGTGAAGAAGAGAAAAACACATCGGGTATTCATCCAATGAGTCCAGGTAAACCATCAGAACCCAGTAGTTCCTTCATAGATGGGAATGTGTCAGCTGTAGGAGCCATTATGAGTGAGGATAGCATTGATGGAGACAACAGCTGTACCCTCATTATTCACGAAGAGGACACTAGGGAGGGCATCTCTAGGGAGGGAACGAGTGATGGTATGTCTAGTCCAAACATAATGCAAAATGCTGAAGCTTGTAAGCCAGGTGCAGATAAAGAGGAAAGACTTACCCCAGATAGATGTGGTGTAGACAAAGTGATCAGAGCTCCAAAAGAAGAGGAAGAAGAGAGGAAATTAGAAACGTTAGACCTTCCTTTAGGCTACTGCTCATTGGTCAAGGAAAAAAAGAGCAATCCTGAATCTTTTGGGTTACAGACTCAAAGTAATTTATGTGGTAACAATGTTGAGATGGAGAAGATTGCCAGTGAACAGAGTTGTGATGATGAACAGCACAATGACTATGATGATGACGATGATGATGATGATGAGAGTGATGATGACGACTCCAGCTCAGTCACATCCAGTAGTAGTTCTTCATCTTCATCTTCCTCCAGTAGTGATGATGATGACAGAATAAGCTTTAAACAAAGAGGTAAAGTGAAATTGCTTGTTCTTCATTTACTGTATATGCAGGAAATTTAAGATGGCCACTACTTTTGTGTAATCAAATATTGTACTCAGAGTAACCTAGTCTTTTTTCACGAACATTAACTCTGGGCCAAGCATAGGTGATTCTATTGTGTCAGCTCACAGCAATGAGTTCTTCATATCCCTTCTTGGATATATACAGTACTGTACTGTCTTCTCTTGGCTGGCCCCTCAGTAGCTCCCTATTTGCAAAAGTCTCTAGTACCTAAGAGGCACCCATAACCCTACCAGGCCTTAAGACTTTCTTAGGCCTACCAAATACCAGGAACAGAATCTGATGTGGTCATAGTGGCATGACAAGCAAGGGGTTTAGTTCAACCCAAACCCCCTAAAAAGGTCCTGAAAGTACAGATGAACCAAAACAAACCACAAATCTTGATCAAATATAGAAAATAAAGCAGGCATCAGTAGTATGCTGATAAACAATGAATGTGGCAGCAGGTGGCAGCTCCAGTCACCTGGGGGCTCCAGCCCAGGGCCATGCAAAGCTGGTAATAGGCCTAGGCTGGATGGGAAATGTAGGTCCCATTTCAAACTGCTTATCAAGTATTTTTGTAATCAGTGCTAAATACATATGATTTCTGTGGGTAGCCCCATTGGCTACCTGGAGCTATCAGACTGATATGCAATATATTAGTCTGCGGCATCAGTCAGTTGGAGTTCAGCCTACCAGGAACCACGAGCCACAACCTGGCCCCCTCAGAGAGGCAAGGGAGCAATGGCGTATGGAAAACCCCCATGTGGTTGGGGGCTTTCCTTGTCTGCCATCGACTGGGATTAGGCACCCAGAAAGGTATGCACGACAAAACAAACCCCACTTTGTAAGAAAATTGCAACCAAAGACTGAAAAGAGAGCCAGAACTCCCCAAACATCCAAAGAAACAAGCAAACATCGTACACCGCTGCCGTGCCGCTTGTCTGCGCAGCCCCCCCCCCTCTCCCTGGAAAGGGGAAGAGGGTGCCCCGGACCCCCCGGCTACTCACACTTTCAGTTCATCGGTTGATGTGATCTGGGGCAGTCATCAACTCTGGCCTTGATTTATTGGCAGTGTTTCGCCTTAGTGGTGTTCTCTGCGGTGTTGTGGTGCAGTGGCTAGCTGTAACAACAACATACTTGGGGCTGCATGTGCTACCTTCCCTAAGTGCCCTGTAAGTTCTACATTTGGGTGTTAGGGTTGCTTTCCATAGTGCCTTCGGGAAACCACTTACATAGGGGGTTCTTGCTGCTCAGCATTTGCCCCACCTTTGGGGCCAGCTGGGGTTTTGTGGCCTTTGATTGGCCTTAGGTAGGCAGTGGACTTGTTGCTGGTTGGGGCACAAGGTGCTACGCAACTTGCCTACATATTTGGCGGCCATGTGCCTGTTCCTTCTGGAGACATTGTACTTTTGCCATTTTTTTTTTCTTTTTGTTTTCCTTGTCAGGAGGGGGTCTGCCTTGTTTGGTTATTGGTCCACTTAAGTTGTTGGTGGGTCTCCTCTAGACCCCCGTGTTTGTAAACATCGCAGGAGTTCAGTTTTTAGCTCATCCCCCCTTTGTTAGCTATTGGGTTTTACTGGTTTTGTAGCACCTTGCCTGGGCTTCCCCAAGCAGTCAGCCTGTGGGCCCTGGAAAACCCTGTCGAGGCTAAGTAGACCGCTGGATGCATCTTCTTAGTTCCAGTTCGCTTTGTGTGAGTTTGAAAGTTGCTCTGTACTCTTGTCTCAGGGAGACAGTCACCTCTTTTGCCTCAGTCATGCTGCCTGTTGGGTCAAAGACACCTTTGATCCGGAGTCTTGTGAGATGTGTTCTCTGCTTGTGCTCCAATTTACGCTTTCTGTTGTCACTGAGGTTCGGGTACAGGTGGCATCCATGTTAGATGGTAGATGTTTGGGAATTTCAGGCTCTTCTGAGACAGAGGTTTTGTTCTTTTGGTCCTGGCAGGCAGTTTGTTTATTTTCAGCTGTGTCTTTCTTTTCTGGTGAAAAATGAGTCAGTGGGCTCCGAAGGGGTCCTTTGGTGATTGATGCTGTGAGGGGGCCAGGTTTTGGCTCTGGTCCCAGGTAGGTTATCTTGAGGTTATATCTTGAGATGATTTCGGGGCTTTAGTGTCCCTGCGGCCCGGTCTTCGACCAGGCCTTCACCCCCAGGAAGCAGCCCGGACAACTGACTAACACCCAGGTACCTATTTTACTGCTAGGTAACAGGGGCATAGGGTGAAAGAAAATCTGCCCATTGTTTCTCGCCGGCGCCCGGGATCAAACCCGGGACCACAGGATCACAAGTCCAGTGTGCTGTCCGCTTGGCCGACCGGCTCCCAGGCCGAGCAGAATTTATGTGACTGATGTGACCTCTTTAGTATGGAACAATTTTGGCAAGACAGCTTCAGGGAGCACTGGGGCTCCTTCAGAAAGCTGCATTTCATTACATTCAGTGCTGGGTTTTTAGGTTAGCTAAGGAAAATATAAATGTAATTTCATGAAAGACAGTTTTGCTGGTAAAATTGATTTTGTCATTCAATAAACTTTGTATTTATTATAGGATATATAAACTCTCTTTGTTTACAGTGGAGAGGGCAGCTCAAGCAGCTCGTGAGGCAGAAGCTTCAGCAGCAGCACGTCTCTCTGCCAGCGTTACCAACCAGGAGACACCTATGTGTAATGATGGCCACCACACAAACCAACTAGGGCTTGACCACAAACTAGATGTTCAGTGTCAATTAGATGACCAAATGGAAGATCAAATAGAATCAGACTCTGCAGCTTCTTCTTCAGAGGATATTGCACCACACAACAATGAAGAAGTTGCCACAGTATCAACCCCAACTGTTGCCTCAGTTTATGTGGAGCCTCCCTCTGGCTCACTTAGTCTAACTCCACATTTAGCGTGCCCAGAGCCTATAGAGATTGAGCACAGCGGGCGTGACCCAGCTGATCTACAGGCAGCTCAAGGCTTGGCTGACCTACAGAGAGGTCAAAACCTGAATCTCAACAGTAACCCTCCAGGCTCTACAGCCAACCCAATGACCTTCATGGTGAATGAACTACAGGAGGTGAGTGACCCAAAAAATCTCAATTCTGAATGTGAAAAAGATCTAAGAGTCATAATTAGTAGGGATTGTGATCTATATTGATTGTGATTGTGAATGTATTAAGATTTGCAACAAAGGAAATGGGGGGAGGGGTCAGCTGTAACTAGAGGGGTTCAAACTGACCACTGAATAAGATTTCTGCAGAGACGTTTTCTGCTTCACTTCTTGTTTCTTTATACACTATGCAGTTGTATGTTTGCCTCACTTTCTGGATGTTTTCTTAGTGAAGATGATCATAATCCATACCTTTTCTGTGGAGAGCCCCTTTAGCTCCCCGGAGCTATACCTGGCTGATGTGTATATATATATTAGACCGTGGCAACAATCAATCGATGGAGTTCTAGCCTACCGGGAACCACGAGCCAAAACCCTAGCCTGTGGGGTTTTCTATTTTGCTTTCCCAACTGCAATGCGTACGTCACCAATGTACATGTGGCAGACGCTTCACGAAGCTATCGGAATCCAGCAGAGAAAATACGAGAGCAACTGTACAGAGCCTGGGAGCAAGGTTGAGTTAGAGTCCTTGAGGGTCTCTTCTCAGACTAGCCTCACCTGGTCCTGGTCCACGTTGATCGTTGGAATCTCCTCAATGCTTGAAACACTTTAAGGGACTCCAAGGGTCCTCATCACATTTATAGATTAGTGAATAATAGGCAACTCGGTGTTGAAGATACCTGGAGCTGAAGGCTTGAGTAAATAGTTGGCAGTATTCAGAAGTGGTTCAATGGAAACACCACATAAAGCTTGACAGTACTTTATTTACAAACTTAACCACTAATACAAAGGGTGCTTGATTTACTTTAAATTAGCGTCAGAAAGGCTATGGTTGCATTAGCGAGACTCTTGCCGTCTGACTAATCGATTCTGATCCTAACTTAACACAATTGACAGCCAATCATTAACATGGCAAACCTAACTGCCGGTGTGCAAAGGGATCACAGGAGTTCCAATCGGATACTCGGGTAATGATGATGTGCAATAAATCACAATGGCACTGTCAATGGGACAGGCAATAATCATGCACAATAATTATGTCACACAGTAACTAAATGTGTGGTGTATGTGAAACTCACATTCACAGACGAGTGTAATGTTGTGATAAACACGCATACACCGCTGGGTGTATAGGTCTGCACCTATACCTGTGTCAGGTACGAGAAGGTGAGAACTGTGGTTGATCCCTGAGATCAACACAGACAGACACACACTAATAAAGAAACAAGATCTTGTACTTACAGGTAGGCTACCTCTCCCATTAACTCACTCACTCGTGCACATTTATGCAAGAACTCGTAGGTGGCCTGGCTGCTGGTTTTGCTCGCTATGACGTAAGACCATTGACGACAGACTTTCCCAACAAACCGTACTTGACACGGAGTGTACTCGCATAGGAGGGCGTGCTGTATGCTTAACAGACAGACATACCCTTGATGGCGCTGGTGGTGAGTAAGGGTGTGACAGGTGGTGACATCACATAGTACAGTGAGGCAGGGCAGGTGGCAGCTTGAGGCGGCTACATGCTCTGGTCCGAGTGGTGACTGGCGGCGGCTGATTATATGGTACCATACAGGTACACTTTGGTAAATGTCTCACACAGATTACTTAGGCAGCAGCACTCCTTAAGTCACTTTTGGTCACTCACAGACGATCTCTATTTGTCACCAGGGGTTACCTGATACCAGTCTGTTTCGCTCTGGTGATTTGTCACTAGAAGGCTTCTAAACAATATATTCACGATCGTGATTCCGGGCGAGCGTTGGTATATCGAAAAGACGCTGAGTTTAACTTGACGGTGAGGAATGGACGGTGTTCTGTCTATTGGCTGAATAGACAGAAGGACATGTCCACCATGTTCGGACGTCCTCACGTGAATACGAGTAAAGGGATGCAGTGCTCCTTGTGGTAGCACAAACACAAAGGGGTTACAATTGACCAATGGTGTTGCAGCAAAGGTGCCTTAACACTTTCGCCCGGGCATGACGCAGCATTGCGTCATCCGTTTACTGTCGGTAATACCGGGGAGGATGCAGCATTGCGTCATCCACTTTAAATAATCGCCAAAAATCAGGTTTTTATCCAATTTTTTGGGGACTGGTTTTAAAATGCGCGCCGATGTCTTCCCATTTTCTTTATTGAGCCTCGTGGCCCTCAGGCAGCTTGGCACACGCCGTGGGCCCATTGTTTTTGCTCCACTGTTGTAACCAATGTTGCCTCCCCTCGCATCTCAAACGTGTGTACATTTCGGCTATTTTCCGTGGCTATATTTCTTACTGCGGCTTTAGAAACTATCTACGCTTACTCCACGATGGATAGTGATCATGAACAAGGCTCTTCCAGGAAGAAAATTGCAAAAGAAAGGCTTGAAAAGGGCGGGAATTGGCAGTGTAGCTGGAAGGCGTCTGAGCGCTCACTTGCAGCTAACGCGTGGCCCGTCTTCAACTTGTCGGCGGTTGGAGCGTGACCAGTTTTTTTTATTTTATATGCTAACGTTCCTGTAGAGAATTCAATTGCGAACCCATTGAGACCAAAATGAAAGACCTAGGACGAAAATTGAGGTGACCAGAGTGAAAATAGTGAAAACATTTTATCGCGTTTGCGCGCTCCTGTTAACCCTTCAATTGCGCATCGCATCATATGATGCTTTGCCCGACTTGCAGTAAATTGCGCATCGCATCATATGATGCGCGGGCATACCGAGCACGATTTGAAAGGCCCGCGGGGTAGAGGGGGTCCCCATACGCTGCCCAGGGGCTATAGTAAACAGCCGCCATTTTGAAAAAAAATCCAGCTCACGCTACCATCGCTTGGGAGGCCTCAGTTACCCAGCAGCCACCATGTCGAGCGCACGGCCGAACGCTTCCCGGGCACGCCCCACGCAATCACTCACCCAAGAGCAAATAACCAGTGAATTATTTTCCGATGGTGAGGAAAGTGACTTTGATGACTCTGATATTGATAAAGACTACACACAATTGACCGATGTTGATAGCACGGACAGTGAATATGAGATACAGCCGCCTCCCATGGCGAGGCCTATACGCTCACCCATGCCGCCTCGCCCAGTGTCTACCCCAATTCTCCCTCGGCCACACAGTTCCTGTGATTATTTAGAGTCTGAGGATATTTTCGGTGACGAGTCAGAGGAAGGTGACTCTTTTTCTGGTTTTAGTGAAGTGGAATCAGAACATAGTGTTACCGAGCCTGGTGCCAGTACCAGTGGTGTTACTGGGCGAGATTTTGTCGCGTCAGCAGCGTCTCGGCCAGCCAAGCGCCACCGCATGGAACAACATGTGGCACCAAGAGCCTCATGTTCATGTGCCTCTACCTCACGTGCCTCTACCTCACGTGCATAGCGGCCGTACTGTGCGTAGATGGGCTTCAGCTCCTGGTCCACGGGGTGCATCGCTTCCTCGCCGTAGTGCCTCTGCTGCGTCCCCTGTTGCGTCCCCTCGCAGGACACCAGGTGTACTAGTGTGGAGTGATGGTGCTGGTTTTATTCCCCCGAATTCCTGCCTTTGACAATAAAGACGTTGGGATTACAGAGCTTTTCCCTGATAATGGTGATGATATGAGTGAATGTGATTATTTTACCGCATTCTATGATGAGCCGCTCATGGAATATATTGTACACCAAACGAACCTTCATGCGGCTCATCTCATTAGAAAAGAGATAACAGAATTTTCACGCTTGCAACGTTGGAAAAACACCAATATAGGTGAAATGTATGTGTTTCTTGCAATATGTATGTTGATGAAACACTGTGTCAAACACGCTCTCACAGATTACTGGAGCAAAGATCTGACTATTCCAACACCTTTCTTCGGGAAATATATGTCCAGAGACAGATTTCAGATACTCCTCAGGTGTGTGCATTTTGCAACTAATGAGGACCGGACTGAGGAGGATAGACTTTGGCGAGTGAGGCACTATATGAATGAGGTGATTGGAAAATTCAGAGATTTTTACGTACCAGCACAGAAGCTGGTGATTGACGAATCCCTTATACTATTCAAAGGACGTGTTTCATTCAAACAGTATATTCCCTCAAAACGAAACAGATTTGGCTTGAAATTCTTTGTACTGTGTGACTGTGAAACAGGATACGTGTTACACATGATTCTGTATTCAGCTAGCGATGTAGACATTCCCGGTAACGACGAACATGGTTTCTCTGGTAGTGTGGTGAAGTCACTGATGGCACCATGGATGAACAAGGGCCACATCCTATACACAGATAATTACTATACAAGTCCATTGCTAGCTAAGTTCTTGATTGAAAATAGAACCGGGTTGGTTGGCACAGTAAAGCCACGAAGAAGGGAAATGCCAGTGTTTGTCGGTGGACTTGCAGTTGGTGAGTGCCAGGTACGGAAATGTGATGAAATTCTCTCAGTACGGTGGAAAGACAAGAGAGAAGTGAACCTGCTGACAACCGTTCATGAGGGTACAATGTTGAACAGTGGCAAGGTGCACCGTGTAACGAGAGAACCAGTATATAAGCCAGATTGTGTTCTTGACTACAATATCAACATGCGTTTGATTGATAAGGCTGACATGATGATTGGCACTATCGAGTGTGTGCGGAAAACATTGAGGTGGACGAAAAAAGTGTTTTTCCATCTTGTTGACATGAGCATGTTGAACTGCTATAATTTGTACCTGGTGAAAACTGGACGTAAACCTATTTTCCGTACATTTGCTTTTACACTTGCAACACAGTTATTAGCAAAGTTTGGTCAAGAAGTCCCTGGCATACGAAGACCAATCATGAACCCAGTGTTGCAGCATGCTGCAACACCCAGGCTCGCTCACATGGATGCCTTTCAGCAACACAGACTAAAGAATTTGCCAGCAGGTGGAAAGCGTGCAATAGGCCAACGTGCATGCGTAGTATGTAAAACAACAAAACGAAGAGAGCAAAAACGTAAAATGGTGCAAACATGGTGTGAAGGGTGTGGAG